TTGTTTATGTCTTATGTTTAATGGTTTTAATGATTTTAAGTCATAGTTATATATATTAATTAATTATTATGATTTCTTCGTTTTTACTGTATGCCCCCAGTGGTGCAGTGGGTTAAACCCCTGTGCCAGCAGGACTGAAGACCGACAGGTCGCAGGTTCGAATCCAGGGAGAGCGCGGATGAGCTCCCTCTGTCAGCTCCAGCTCCTCATGCGGGGACATGAGAGAAGCCTCCCAAAAGGATCAAAACATCCGGGCGTCCCCTGGGCATCGTCCTTGCAGATGGCCAATTCTCTCACACCAGAAGCGACTTGCAGTTTCTCAAGTCACTCCTGACACAACCAAAAAAAAATAAAATACTGTATGCTGGCATTGAATTTTTGCCATTAGTATGTTGTAAACCACTTGAGTCCCCCCAGGGGTGAGAAAGGCTGTATATAAATACAATAAATAAAAAAATAAATCTATATAAATAAAAAATGTAATGTTTGTTTGTGGGATTAACATAACTCAAAAACCACTGGACGAACTGACACCAAATTTGGACACAATACACCTATCAGGCCAATGAGTGACCATCACTCATAAAAACACAGAAAAACACAGAGGAAGGGACTTAAAAAGCCCAAAAAGCAAAAAGACGCTACAGTGCATGTGCAAAAATGACTCCCCCCTGGTAAACAAAACACACAATAGCATATCCACATTCTCTTCTGGACTACAGCTCCCAGTATTCCCTAGACCAGGGTCTTTAGGAGAGGAGGATGATCCAAATGCACTGCTTCCAAGCTGCAAGCTTTCTTCTCCTTGGATTTCTTTGAGAGCATTCAGATCTCTGCATATTTCCAATTTCCTATTCCTGGACTGCAACTCCCAGCAATCCTCCAGATAGATAAGATAGATAGACTAGATAGAGATAGATAGGTAGGTAGGCAGGTAGATAGATAGGTCAGGAGGATTGCTGGGAGTTGCAGTCCAAGAATCGGTAGAGAAGGAAGAAAGGGGAGAAAGAGGAAGAGGTGGGGAAGGAAGGGAAGAAGAGAAGGAAGGAAGGAGAGAATGAAAGAAAGAAAGTGAAGGAATGAAAGAGGGAGGGAAGGAAAGAGAAAGAAAGAAGAGAAGGAAGGAGGGAAGGTTGGCCACAGCAACGCGTGGCGGGTACAACTAGTAAATAAATAAAATGGCAGTGTAGAAGGGGCCTCAGATACCTACTGCTCCAAGTTACCAAAGCCAGGGGTTTGTCTTCCTTTAAAGCAGCTTTATGTAAAGCTTTGCTGAACAAAGTCAGTACTGAAACTTAACAGCATTACAGGAACTACAGAAATGACAGGAGGTGGGGGGAACACTATGCCAGCTTGCATGCCCACAATCACATTAGCCTTAGACAGGATACAAATTCTAGATACTAACATTTCATCTTTGATATCAAACGTTAATCCTGTTCTACAAGAATCTTACCTGCGTTTTTTCCCCTAATACACACCTCTGTCCCAGCAGCCTATCAACAGTTGCCAGATTACCTTTAGCAACCTGTTTGACAGCAAAGCAGGAAGCATAACTGTTACACGCAAATGTGGCACTTCCACTTGAATATTTCATTTCTGATAGCATATACAAAGCATTTTGAATACTAGACACAATATGTAATGTGCTTTTATATCTATGCTAATATATCTAATAACTCTAATATCTAATAATAATATTAATCTAATATTAATAATAATATCTAATCTATATAAATAAAAATGTAATGTTCGTTTGTGGGATTAACACAACTCAAAAACCACTGGGGGAATTGACATCAAATTTGGATACAATACACTTAACTACCCAATGTATGTCCTTCACTCATAAAAACACCGAAAAACACAGCAGAAGGAACTTTAAAAGCCCTAAAATACAGAAAAAAGGAAGAAAGAGGGAGGGAAGGGGAGAAAAAAAAGAAAGAAAAGAAAGAAAAGAGGGAGGGAAAGAAAGACGGAAAGGGAGAAGGAAGCATGGAAGCAAAGAGAGAAGGAAAGAGGTAGAGAAGGAAGAAAGGAGAGAAAGTGGGAGGGAAAGAAGAAATAGGAAGGAAGGAAAGTTAGAGAAGGAAAGGAAGAAGGAAAGAAAAGTGAAAGAAGGAAGGAAAGAGGGAGCGAAGGAAGGGGAAGATGTAGTGAAAGAGGGAGGGAAGGAAAGAGAGAAGGGAGAAAAGAGAGACAGCAGAAGAGAAAGAAAAAGGGGGAAGGAAGGAAGAGAAGGAAGGAAGAAGAAAGGAAAGAAGGAAGGAAAGAAGGAAGGAAGGAAGGAAGGAAGGAAGGAAGGAAAGAGGGAGGAAGGAAGGAAGGAAGGAAGGAAGGAAAGAAGGAGAAAAAGAGGGTAGGTTGGCCACAGCAATGCGTGGCGGGTACAGCTAGTAATAGATAATAATAATAATAATAATAATAATAATAATACATTTCATTGAATCAAAGTATAAATGAGAAAGTTTACAGTCCTTATTAAGATCTACTCAAAAGTAGGGCCCAACGTAAATGTGTACACTTGTTCCCAAGTGAACATACACAATATTATCTTGTATGTGTGTATGTATGTGCGTGTATACACATACACACACAATTGTTTTGATGCTGTGTTCCAGGGATCTTTACATGTGCTTTAATTCACTTAGGCCCCTTCCACACAGCTGTATAAAATCCACATTGAACTGGGTTATATGGCAGTGTGGACTCAGATAATACAGTTCAAAGCAGATATTGTGGATTATCCGTCTTGATATTCTGGATTATATGGCTGTGTGGAAAGGCCCTGCGTTAGAGGGCCCATCTACACTGCCATACGATGCAATTTGAAGCTGCACTGTGGACTCAAGGTAGTTAAAAGTGTGTTATATCAATCTACATAGGCCATATAATGCACTAAAAGACAACAACAAACATTGAATTTTTGCCATTAGTATGTTGTTGTTTTTTAATATATATATATTTATAAATTTATCAAACAAAACAGTGGATGTGGCTCTTAATGAGACATGCCGCATTATCACGGGGTGTCCACGCCCTACACCACTGGAGAAATTACACTGTTTAGCCGGTATTGCCCCACCTGACATCCGCTGGGAAGTAGCAGCCAATAGTGAAAGGACCAAGGCAGAGACATCTCCAGCTCATCCCCTGTTTGGGTATCAGCCAGCACGTCAACGACTTAAATCTAGAAATAGTTTTCTAAGATCTACAGAGACACTTGCTGGAACACCTCAGCAAGCGAGAGTCCAAAAGTGGCAGGCTCAAACCCAGAACCTCAACCAATGGCTGATACCAAATGAGAGACTCCCCCCTGGGCACACAGAGGACTGGGTGACTTGGAAGGCACCAAACGGACTGCGCTCTGGCACCACGAGATGCAGAGCCAACCTTAAGAAATGGGGCTACAAAGTGGAATCCACGACATGCGAGTTTGGAGAAGAGCAAACTACAGACCACCTACTGCAATGCAACCTGAGCCCTGCCACATGCACAATGGAGGACCTTCTTATAGTAACACCAGAGGCACTCCAAGTGGCCAGCTACTGGTCAAAGGACATTTAACAGAATGCCAAGCCTGCAAACTTTGTGTTTGTTTTTAATGCAATACAACTGTTTTGGTTTGCTCCTGACACGATAAATAAAAATCCCAGATTATCTACTTTAAACTGGATTATATGAAGCCCCTTCCACACAGATGTATGAAATCGACATTGAATTGGATTATTACTTAGGCGATCCCTCATGGGCTGAGTAGGATAGTCTTCCAGGATCAGAATTCTTGTGAGTCTGTAGGTGGCTGTGGAGCCCTATTCTTGATCTGCATCTTCTCCCACAGTGAGGGCATTGGTTTCCAGGTGGAAGGCGATCTCGGTTGGGGTGGATAGATGCGCCTTCCTCTTGGCACGCTTCTCTCTTTTACCCTCCATTCGTGCCTCTTCAAGTTCTGCAGCACTGCTGGTCACAGCTGACCTCCAGCTGAAGTGCTCAAGGGCCAGGACTTCCCAATTCTCAATGTCTAAGCCAGAGTTTTTAAGGATGACTTTGAGCTAATATTTAAAACTCTTTTCCTGTCCTCCAACATTCCGTTTTGCGTTCTTGAGTTCGGAGTAGAGCAACTGCTTTGGGAGACGGTGGTCAGGCATCCGGACAACGTGGTCCAGCGGAGTTGATGGCGGAGGACCATCGCTTTAATGCTGGTGGTCTTTGCTTCTTCCAGCATGCTGACATTTGTCCGCCTGTCTTCCCAAGAGATTTGCAGGATGTTTTGGAGGCAACGCTGATGGAATCATTCTAGGAGTTGCATGTGACGTCTGTAGACAGTCCAAGTCTCGCAGGCATATAGCAGGGTTGGGAGGACAATAGCTTTATAAACAAGCACCTTGGTATCCCTACGGATGACCTGGTCCTCAAATACTCTCTGCTTCATTCGGAAAAATGCTGCACTCGCAGAGCTCAGGCGCTGTTGTGGACTCAGATAACCCATTTCAAAGCAGATATTGTGGATTATCCACCTTGATATTCTGTGTGGAAGGGCCCTGAGTCTCCACTGCCAGATCATCTGGGATAAACAGATCATCTGGGATATAGGGCAGTGTAGCCTCAGTTCAACTGGTATCAAACTGCATTAGTTTTGCAGTGTAGATGCATGAAAAAGCAGGGAAAAGTATCCCTTATCTGAAATGCTCTGGACCACAGGTGTTCTATATTTTGGGACGGATTTTGGAACACCTGTATCTGCACATGTGGACATCATTCTGCAGATGGGGCCCAAATCGAAACAAGAAATTCACTGATGTTTCAGACAAACCAGATTGAAAGTCATTTTAGGGACAATCATGTGGTAGATGAAATACAGCATGTGTCCACTGAACCCCCAGCAAGCAAAGGTATGGAGTATTTGGGAGAAAGGAGATGATCAGGCTGTACTAGCAGACCTAAGGACACATCACCCCCACACATACACATAAAAGCGGTTCGATCGCGCGTTAACTCACCTTTCCCGCCGCATCTCCGCCGCCGCTTCTCGGCCCCTGCTCAGCGCCCGCGGAGGAGTCCAAACAGGGAAGGCGGGAGGCAGAACGGCGATGTCAGCCCTTCCAGCCAATCAGAAGGCGGCTTGCAGCCGCAGGCTCCGCCTCCCTGCCAGGAAGTGTGAGAACTGAGACAAGACGACAGCGGAGGGAGCGGAAGTGAGTGCCTTCTAGCCTGCGAAGGCGCCGCCACTCTATGGCAGGTTGAAATTCTCTTCCTTCTCTCCCTCCCTCCCTTTTGAGATGCCCTTCTATCCGCGGCCTGTAGGTGGCGTAAGAGGGTTCATAGCAAAGCGTTGTTATAACTTTATTTAAAGTAATTTTTATTGAGTTTCAAATTCAATAACAGAAAAGGAGAGAGAAAAAAATAGATACAAAAACAGAAAACGTAGAAATACAAGTTGAGAGAGAATTTTAGACTTAATACATACAGATTTATGTATTAACACCCCAGCAAGCGAGAGTCCAAAAGTGGCAGGCCCAAACCCAGCACCTCAATTCATGGGGGATACCAGATGAGAGACTCCCCCCTGGGCACTCAGAAGACTGGGCGATTTGGAAGAAATGGGGCTACAGGGTGGAATCCCCGGCATGCGAGTGCGGAGAAGAACAAACCACTGACCACCTGCTGCAATGCACCCTGAGCCCTGCCATATGCACCATGGAGGACCTTCTTGCGGCAACCCCAGAGGCACTCCAAGTGGCCAGATACTGGTCAAAGGACATTTAACCAAATACCAAATTAGCAAAATCTGTGTTTTTTTTCCTTTTTCTTTTTAATCTGTGTGTTTGTTTTGCTCTGTTAGAATTGTAATACAATGGTTGCTGATGACACGATAAATAAAATAAATAAATAAACAAACAAAACACAAAGTTTGCAAGCTTTGTATTCTATTAAATGTCCTTTGACCAGTAGTTGGCCCCTTGGAGTGCCTCTGGTGTTACTATAAGAAGGTCCTCCATTGTGCATGTAGCAGGGCTCAGGTTGCATTGCAGTAGGTGGTCTGTGGTTTGCTCTTCTCCACACTCACATGTTCTGGCCTGAGCTCTGCAAGTGGACGTCTGTGGATTGTTTACAGACGTCACATGCAACTCCTGGAACGATTCCATCAGCACTGCCTCTGGAAAATCCTGCAAATCTCTTGGGAAGACAGGCGTACAAACATCAGTGTGCTGGAAGAAGCAAAGACCACCAGCAGTGAAGCAATGGTCCTCCGCCATCAGCTCCACTGGACCGGCCACGTCGTCTGGATGCCTGACCTGGAGACCTGGATGTCTCCCAAAGCAGTTGCTCTACTTCGAACGGAAAATGGAATGTTGGTGGGGAGGAAAAGAGATTTAAAGATGGGCCCAAAGCCAACCTTTAAAACTCTGGTATAGACACTGAGAACTGGGAAGACCTGGCCCTTGAGTGCTCCAGTTGGAGGTCAGCTGTGACCAGCAGTGCTGCAAAATTTGAAGAGGCACAAATGGAGGGTGAAAGAGAGAAATGTGCCAAGAGAAAGGCACGTCAAGCCAACCCTGACTGAGACCGCCTTCCACCTGGAAACCAATGCCCTCAATGCAGAAGAAGATGCAGATCAAGAATAGGGCTCCACAGCCATCTACGGATCCACCAGAATACTGATCCTTGAAGACTAGATTGACCTTGAAGGAGCTGGGGGTGGTGACGGCCGACAGGGAGCTCTGGCATGGGCTGGTCCATGAGGTCACGAAGAGTCGGAAATGACTGAACGAATGAACAACAAAATATTTACCATTGTGGGATTTCAGCTCCCCTAACTTGTGGGATTCCTGAGCCCAGAGTGCTAAGCAGCCTGATCGTCGAAAGAAGCACAGACGGGTGTGAAGGCAAAACCAAAAGTCTTAAATTCTCAGTGGCCAAAGAGGATATCAGCAGAGCTCAAAATACTGGCATACCCTGACTGTTAACACATGGGTTATATTTTACAGTACAGAAAAATGGAAAATTGCCGTGCTCGTTTCCCATTGGTCTTGGAGGGTGCTGGCAAGTTCCCAGGAAGAGAACAAAAGAGGGCATTGGACATCTTCTGTGACCTCTGGTTTGCTCCATTGCCAGGGGTGTGTGGGCATTGTTAGGTAATTATGGTGGTTTGGGGCATTGTTCCTTGGAGTCCAAGGTGTGGTGAAGCAACATTCCAATGATATTCATGAAAGATTACTTTGCTGGCAAAGCGAACAATCCAATGTGCTGGCTGTATATCCACAGTTAATGATCCATATATTTTATATGATTCATATTGTTGGGGGTCTGATTTTTCAGTAACACCAAGGGTCCCCTTTGTTTCCCACCCTTCTCAAGCATCAAGGAGCCCTGCCAGAGAAGCTGGTTTTGCTATTTTATCCCATTTAAAGAGTGGCATCCCCTTTCAATCTAGGGGGTTTACTCTTTCTTTCTAGAGCTCTGACATGATGCACAATTTTTGGCTGCACTCTGAAGTGTTTAATTTGTGTGCCTCTAGCTATTCACACCTCTGCTTTGAAAACAAATGCAAAAATTGCATACGCCTCCACTGTCCACCTGGGGATATCAAATGTAGGTAAGCACAGCACTCCTGGAATCTCTCATTTACGCAGAAGTGAGGCTTGTGTAACTGTTTTTTCACAATAATAATAGGAGAATTTATAATAAACTGAACATTTTTTGTGCAGATTACCCAGCAAGGCTAATTTTGGATCTTTGGTTTGAAAGTATTGCAATTGTCTTTTATCCTTTGGCAGCTTTTAACATCAGTTGTATTGATCAACAATCTATATAAATAAAAATGTAATGTTCGTTTGTGGGATTAACATAACTCAAAAACCACTGGACGAATTGCCACCAAATTTGGCCACAAGACACCTACTACCCCAAGGACTGACCATCACTCAAAAAATGATTTTGTCATTTGGGAGTTGTAGTTGCTGGGATTTATAGTTAACCTACAATCAAGAGCATTCTGAATCCCACCAACGCGAGAATTGGGCCAAACTTTCCATACAGAACCACCATGACCAACAGAAAATAGTGTTTTCTGGTGGACTTTGGTGACCCTTCTGACACCCCCTCGTGTCCCTCTCAGGGGTCCCGACTCCCAGATTGAGAAATGCTGACGATGGAATTGAACCAAACTTGGCAAACAGGACTCCCATGATCAACAGAAACCACTAGAAGTGTTTGGTGGACATTGACCTTGAGTTTTGGAGTTGTAGTTCACCTTCATCCAGAGAGCACTGTGGACTCAAACAATGATGGATCTGGACCAAACTTGACACAAGCACTCCTTATGCCGAAATATGAACACAGATGGAGTATGGGGGAACTAGACCTTGACATTTGGGAGTTGTAGTTACTGGGATTTATAGTTCACCCACAATCAAAGAGCATTCTGAACCCCACCAACACGGGAATTGGGCCAAATTTTCCATACAGAACCGCCATGACCAACAGAAAATACTGTGTTTTCTGGTGGACTTTGAGAGCCATCCAGCCATAGATATAGATAAATAGATATGATTCACATACACACACATATATGCCAGATATAGTATCATAGGTTTCAAAGGGACCTCTAAAAAAGGACAATGATATGTTGCATGTTCCAGAGTAGGAAAACTGGACAATCTCTACATCAACACTGACAAGTAATACTGTTTACCCACAAGCATAAAGAAATTACATATATTAGAAACCAACACTATTTTCCAGGTCACCAGACTGGGCCACAGCAACGCGTGGCAGGGGGCAGTTAGTAATTTATAAATAAATATCAAGTGCTCTTCTCTAGATCTTAGGAAGATATTTCTTGATTTAAGGCATTGGTTTGCTGTCTGATAATCCAAACAGAGGATGGGCCAGAGATGTCACTGCCTTGGTCCTTTCATTACAGGCTGCTACTTTCTGACCAGATGTCAGGTGGTGCAATACCAACTAAATAGTATAATATCTCCAATGGGTGGTGGGGGGGGGGCAACAAAAGTCCCATGGCGATCAGGGAGTGGCGACGGGGGCAGGACTGAAATCTGGAAGCCCCTAGTCACAAACTGGCACATGGGCGGTGGATACGGACTCAGTCGTTCTACCTCAAGGTCCGAGGTAGTTGAGTAGTTCGGCAGCTGTATCCACAACTGAGCAGCTCACCCCACATGGGGAAGGGGCTAGAAAAGATGCCCTAGACATAGTCTGCCTCTTATCTGACTGGACTGCTGTGTCCAGTGCGGTCACTACCCTGCGGCCAAAAAGGACCCACCGCCAGGATATTACACTTGGAGGACCATCATCCTCAGACTACAAGGGATCGCCTAAGTAAGTAAGTAGGGTGTAGTCATCCTGAGATAATGCGGCATGTCTCATTAAGAACCACAGCCACTGTTTTAACACGGTGAGATGTATTCCACACATGCGCATTCAGCAGTAGAGTGGCAAAGCACAAGGGCAGATGTCTGTGTCTGGTTGTGATCCCCAGGTTGTGCCAGACAGCTTTCGTATGATATTATTTCTAGTACCCACTTTTTGTTTGATGTTCAAGCAGTGCTTTTTGTAAGTCAGAGCATGGTCCAGAGTAACTCTCAGGTATTTTTGGTGTCTTGCAATCTCCAGTGGGATTCCTTCCCAGGAAATCCTGAGAGCTCAAGATGCTTGTCTATTCTAAGGTGTTTCAAATGGAATTTTAATCAGCTGATTTTACTGTAATAGGCAGTAAGACCATCTAAGACCATCTAAAGCAGAGGTCCTCAAACTTTTTAAACAGGGGGCCACGTCACAGTCCCTCAAACTGTTGGGGGGCCAGATTATAATTTGAAAAAAATGAATGAATTCCTATGTATACTGCACATATCTTATTTGTAGTGCAAAAAAAACCCCACTTAAAACTATACAATAATTTAAATGAAAAACAATTTTAAGAAATATAAACTTATTAGTATTTCAATGGGAAGTGTGGGCCTGCTTTTGGCTGATGAGATAGGATTGTTGTTGCTGTTGTTGTGTGCTTTCAAGCCATTTCAGACTTGAGCAAGGGCCGGGTAAATGACCATGGAGGGCTGTATTCGGCCCTCGGGC